CCCCCCCCCTGCCGCCCCCTGCAGGATGCGTGCGCCAGCTGATCATCCAAGGGAAGGAAGTGATCTTCAAAGATTTTGACCTGCAAGCCCACGGAGTCTCCAACTGCCCTACCTGCCAAGACCAACCCTGTCAGGTAGCCCTCTGCTTCTCATCGGGGAAGGGAGCAGATAATCCTGGTGACCTCCGGGTGCCCGGAGCGGTTGTGGTCCAGGGACCTTAACTGCACCACTGCCTTTTCCCTCGCTCCCCTCTCTCTGGCCAGAACGGAGGCGTCTGCATGGACTCGGAGAGCAGCAGCTACACATGCAAGTGTGCCCAGGGATTCGCCGGGAGCAACTGTGAGCACCCCCAGGCCCTGCGCTGTCATCCAGGTAAGACCCACCCCCTCCCCTCAACTCTCTCCTCTATCTCACCTCACGTGCCAGGAACTGGGGCATTTTCCCGGAGCAGAGCTGGGACCGGCCTGGGTCCTGCCACCTTTGGCCACGCCCGAAGAGGTCTGTTAGGAGTTGGCAGCCCAAATTCAAGTCCAGAAAACACACAGACGACTGACTCCCGCAGGAGTCGTTAAACTTCTTGTTTTTTTATATATAAAATAAGTTAAAGGTGTCAACTCATAAAATATTTCTCTGGTCTTTTAGAGTTGCCAGCAGAATGGGAGGAGGGGAGGAATGGAGCAGCTTGCAAAACCGAAACGGCATTCCATCAATGTTTTCAGAGATAGTTTCTAGGCGACAGAAGTTTCTGCCAAGTGCAAAATTCTAACTGGAGAGCATGATGGATGACTCTTGGCTATGGATATGTCCCATTGGAGAATATGAATTAGGATATACCCAGGGGGTTGGGGGGGGAAAACCAGGGTCAAGGGCGACAATGAATGATGTGTCTCAGAGTCGGCTACACCCAGGCAGTGCCAGCATACTTACTCCTAATAAATCTTCTTTAAGCTCTGGGAATCTGGCTAGATGCTCATGATTTAAATGGGGATAACCACCAGAGCTCTGACAGCTAGCTGACTTTCTGGCTGACACCCTCTCTCGCATGCTCCAGTACAAATACCAAGAGTAGAATCTTCCAACGTGGAGTTAGTTACAAGCAAACGCAAACAGAAGCAGACACGGGATAGCTCCCAGTTCAGAGCAGAGGTTCAGTTTCGGCAAGCGAGCAAGTTAGTTTCTCTTTCACTTTAGAGCTGAGCCCAGAAGAGAGATAAACCACACCCAGAATTCTCTCTTTCGGTCTCAGCCTCCGATTCAGCTGTCCTTGGCTGACCTTGTTACTAAGCGCTATCCCAGTTCGTGAATATATTCTGACACGGACCTTCCGCCTGCCTTTCTCCCCACAGAGGCCTGTGGGCCCGATGCCACTTGCGTGAACCAAGCCTCCGGGGAAGGCTACACCTGCCGTTGCCTCTTGGGCCGACACGGGAAGAAGTGCATGGCGGGTGAGTGAGGCCCAGGCTCAGCCCTGCTCCCGAGGAAGCCGGCAGAGGCCCAGGTAACACCCCCCCCCCGCCCTTCTCCTTCCACAGGCCTCACCGTGACGTCCCCCCACTTCCCGGGTGCAGACGCTTTCATCTCCTACCCAACCCTCACCCGAAACCCCTACGAGCTGCGGCTGGAGGTCGAAGTCAAGCCGCTCTCCCCCAACGGCCTCGTCCTCTTCAACGGAGGCGACGGGACCCCCGTGGCCGACTTCGTCTCGCTCAACATGGCCAATGGGCACTTGGAGTTCCGCTATGAGCTGGGCTCAGGTAGGGTCCCCGGCGCCTCCCTGCCTCCTCCCTCCTTGGCCGCCTTTGGCCCCTCTGGAGTCGTCAAGCCAGTCTTTCTTCGCAGGTACCGCTGTGCTGCGGAGCCACAAGCCCCTGGCCCTCGGTCAGTGGCACAAGGTGGCGGCCGAGCGCCTGAACAAAGACGGCACCCTACAGGTGGACGAGGAGCGGCCCGTCAAGAGGTCGTCCCCCGGGAAAAGCCAGGGCCTCAACCTGCACACTTCTCTCTACCTTGGAGGAGTGGAGGACTCAGTCAAGCTCCCGGCAGCTGCCAACATCTCCAACCACTTCCACGGGTGCATCGGAGAGGTGGGCCGTTAGCGGGCAGGGAAGTGCCCACCTCCTTCTCTGCTCAGACAGTCAAGCCGGCAGTGTCCATCCCTTCCCCTCCTCCCTGGGAAGTCCAGAAAGAGGGAGGGCGTCCCTCACAAGCGGAGGTTTGCACCTGCCCGGCTTGCTCCTCTTACGAATTAGCCTGTGGTGCTAATCCTGGTTCTCTCCTTCCAGGTTTCGGTCAACGGGAAGAAGGTGGACATTTCCTACAGCTTCCTGGAGAGTCGCGGCATCTCGCAGTGCGCCGACAGCTCCCCTTGTGACCGCAGGCCTTGCCAAAACGGCGGGCAGTGTTTGCTCACGGGGGAGTACGAGTTCCAGTGCCTGTGTCCGGATGGTTTCACGGGTGAGGCGGAAAGGCCAGCGGGAAGATCTCGGCGGGGTCTATCTTCACCCTGCCTGCCTCTGCTCCACCCGGTGCTCACGGGAGCCTCTCTCTGCCCACAGGGGAACGCTGCGAGGTGCCCGAGGCCCACTGCCAGCTCCATCACCCCTGCCTGAACGGGGGCATCTGCAAGGGCACGGCCTGTCTCTGCCGCCAGGGCTTCTCGGGGCTGTACTGCGAACACGGTGAGCATCGGGGCAGGGAGATCCCGAGGGTGAAGGCGGCTCCTTTAACAAGGCGGGGCTCTGAGGGGCTCTGCTGACCCGGCTTGGCTTCGGGAGGAGGGAACTTCCGTAAGACCTTGCTTGAGCTGACCCCTCTCCCTTTGCCCCGTAGACGAACTGCAGCACCAGCTGAAAGCCGAATGGCCGGAAGGCAGCGGAGGAAACGGTAAGCCTGGCCCTCTGCGCCCCCCTTTCCCTCTCCCTGGTTTTCTTACCTGTTCCTCCGTCAGCTGAATCAGGTGCTTCTTTTTCCCCTCTGACAGACGCTCCTGGACAGTACGGCGCCTATTTCTGCAACGGGGGCTACGTGGCCTTGCCGAGGCACGCTTTCCCCAGGAGGTGAGGGGGGGGCTGAATGGGGGAGGGGCACGGGGTCGTTGCTGGGAAAAGACCCCTCTGAGGGCTGAGCTCTCCTTCTAGAGCAGCGTTGGCAAACCTTTTCGGCACTCGGGTGCGCGCATGCGGGAGCGCCGGAAACCGGAAGAGCAGCTCCCCGGCGCGCCTGCGTGCACCGGGAAGCTGAGCTTCCCCTTTCCGGAACTCCCGCACGCACAAAGACAGAGTGATGGCTGGCTTGCCCAGAGTGATGGCTCTGCGTGCCACTTTCGGCACGCGTGCCGTGGGTTCGCCATCACCGTTCTAGAGGCACCAAGACGCTCGCAGATGATCGGGGGGAAGGACATCATAGCTCACGGTAGAGAAAGGGAGGGTTCCAAGGGGGGAGGTAGATTTCGGTGGGGTGGGGTGATGAGGTGAAGCCGTGGCAGAAAACCAGCCCTGTAATTGGATGCCTCTGCCAGGCAATTGCAGGAAAACCGGGGAGCGGCAAGGAAGGGAAACGGGCACCTCTCCCTACATCGGGGACGGGGAAAATGGGTGTTTCTAATTTGGGTTCGCCTTTCTTGCAGTCTTCCCGAGTCGCCAGAGACCATCGAACTGGAAGTGCGGACCAGCTCTGCAAACGGGCTGCTTTTCTGGCAGGGGGTGGTGAGTGGCCAAGAGATGGGGGGAGGGGGGGGACAGGAGGGAAGAGGAGGCAGAGGGCCGTCCGGTGACCCCCCCCCGCATGGGGAGTGGCCCTTAGGAAGATAGTTTGCGCGACGCAAGGTGGGTTGGTGTGAGATCCTGGCTTCAAAGCAGCCCCGGCGGTGACAGACCCTCCCCTGGACAACCGGCGAGGTTCTCGATCCCCTCAGTGCGGCCCAGAACACCTGGACCCAGGAGAGCCGCCCCGAAGGAAAGGCGTCTGGTGGGAGGGAAGGGCCTATCTGCCTTCACCTGCTCGAGCTGGGAAACGCATGAGTTGCATGGCGGTGGCTGCGGATGCTGCACCCGTTGCATGGCCTTGCTGACACGTGCGTGGCTTCTGCTTGTCCCTTTGTCTTTCCAGGCCACGGGAGAGCCGAGTCCCCCGCCGCATGTTGTTGCTATCCAGGTATTGAACTGCTCGGAGGGTGGTGCTTTGTGGAGCCCTGGACAGGTGCTCAAAGCATGCAAGGGGAGCAGCGCATGGGAGTGGCTCCCCGGTGTGGCCAGGAGGCGGTCGTAGGGTTACCCCACAGCCCCAAAGGAGATCGCTGAGATGGTGGCATCACACTGCTCTCTCTCTCTCTCTCTCTCACACACACACACACACAGGAGGAAGGGGAGCCAGGCAAAGCGAAGGACTTCATTAGCCTCGGGCTGAAGGATGGGCACCTGCTGTTCAGGTGAGTCGGTCCTGTTGGGCGTTTCCCCTTGCTACAGGATCCTGCCAGACCAAAGGTCTGCAACCTTAAAAGACTCAAAAGAGCCATTTGGATCCGTTTCCCACAGAAAAGAATACACCGGAAGCCAATAATTTAACAACCGGTGTGACTGGGAGGTGGGTGGTCAACTCGACCTCACTCACTCCCACCCGGCCACCTCCTGCTCTGGAATATGGAACCGAGTCTCCATCCCCTGCCATCCCCCTTACTTTCTCAGGACAGGGGAGGAGTGACGGGGAGGGGAGGGGTCAGACAGTGGTTGGGATCAGCCAACAGGGAGCCGAAAGAGCCACAGGTGGCTCCGGAGCCACAGGTTGCAGACCCCTGGGCCAGACTGACCAGTGTTTCTGCCTCAGTTACCAGCTGGGAAGCGGAGAGGCCAACCTCCGCTCCGAAGACCCCGTGGACGATGGCGAGTGGCATCGAGTGACGGCTGTCCGGTGAGAGGAGATGGCGGGGGGGGCGGGGGGGGGGTGGTTTTTCAGTCAGCAACACGGATTTCCCCCCCCCCCCCCAACCTGGCCGCCCTTGTGACACAAAACCCCCGTTTTCTGTAGGGAAGGGAAACGAGGATCTCTTCAGGTGGACGGAGAGGAGGCGGTGACTGGTGAATCTCCCGGCAGGAACGTCATGGTCAACACCAAAGGCCGGATCTATTTAGGTGAGTGATTTTGGGCCCTGGAAAGCAGGCCGGGTGTCTTCCGGATCGCGCAATTCCCAAAGAGCGGCCATTTTCTACCTTCTGGCCTCTTTCTCTGCCCCGGTGGTTGTTCTCTGTCCAGCGTTGACCTTGTGTCTATTGGCCTCTGGCTGGAGAAAGAGGCTGCTTGCTTATTTTGCACGGATGGCAGCTTCTTACGTCCGCTGCTCTGGGGTCCCTATGTGGGTCTGAGATCTTTCTCCACCAAAGCCTCTTCAGGGGGGTCAGATTTTGCAGCAGAAATTCAGCCCCAGAAAAACACACGCAGATGCCTGATTCAGCAGGACCCCTTCACGTTTTTATCTCCATAAACAACACCTGAAGTAAAGTTTACAGTGCCGAGAGTTGATTCTTCCAACTGGTCGAAAGTCACGGGCAAAACGTAAGCAGAGGAGAAAAATGGTTTCCCTTTAGTTCAGCAGGGCAAGCGAGGAAGTGGCAGTTTCTTCGACCCAGGCTCCTTCAAGGCTCAGATCCCACTGGCTGACCTTGTTCACCATGTCTCTGCCAGTTCATGAATGTTCGGAGAGCACCAACCTCCTCGCTTACTGCCCAGAGATAACTGCCAAGGGGATCAATAACCCAGGCTGATAGGGTTGAGTGAAAGGGGGTCCTCAGGGTCCCCCCCCCCCCCCCTCTTCTTTTTTCCCCCCCCCCCCCCCCCCCCCCCGCGACTTCCTTGAGACTGGACGATGACTGCCTTTGCCTTTCTCTGCTCAGGAGGCGCCCCCGACATCCAGACGCTGACGGCCGGGAAATACGCCTCGGGAATCACGGGCTGCCTCAAAAACGTGATTCTGGTGAACGCCCGGCCAGGCCAGGAGCCCCGGCAGCCGGTAGACCTGCAACACCAGGCGGAAATGGCCCTGAACATTCAGGAGTGCCCCTCATAGGGGAGGCCCCACCACCAACAACCTTCCTTCCACCCTCCTGCTGTTCGTTGCCATCGCCGGGCCGAGGGAGAGACATCTACGCTGATTATCGTTATTTTATTATTATTATTATTATTGTTATTACTACCAAAAAAAAATTTTTTTTTTTTTAAAAAAAAGGAAGAAACACACCAACGGTGCTTTTCGCTGCTGCCAAAAAAAAAGGGGGGGGAGGTGGAGGGAGTTGGCTAACAGCGGCGTCCTTGGCCTAGGCCGCGCGGGCCGCCTCGGAGGACCAGGGGGAGCCGTGCCGCGTTGCGCCAGAAGAGCTACAGGAGGAGGCCGGCTTACCGGAGATCGGCAAGTGAGCCAGGATGCCCGGAGGGCTGCTGTGTTGGCCCCCCGGCTGGCTGTGACTGACCAAAGATCCTGCCCTCGCCCTCCCTGGGGCAGGGAGGGGATCCCAGGGGCATCCGGGAAGGTGGTCTCGGCAACGTCCTCCGTGCCCCAGCGAATGCCATGCGGGAGACGGGTCCTTCTGAAGTCCCGCCTCCGCCTCGTCGCCCCGCACAGCCGTAGCGGTTCTGAGAGGTGCTCTCCCCACACACCCCCATTTTGCTAGCTGCCTTGAACCCTGGACCGTGCCTGGGAGTCCCGGGGCCTCGCCCCGTGGAAGGGGCCACCCTGCTTCACCCTGGGAAGTCTCTTTCCCCTCACCTTTAGGTTGCTTCAGTGCCTTATTTGGGGAGGGGGACTTTCCTAAGGGATGCACCTGCTATCCCCCAGCCCAATCTCCTCTCGCCCGCCCTCCGTTGCCTCCCGAGTGTTATTTCCCACAGCAAAACTTCCGGAAAGGAGGCGGCGGCTGCTTCTTGGGGGCGGAGAGCAGAGGGGGCCCTCCTGCCTTCCAGCCCCCCTGCCTTTGGGTCAGAACCAGAAGGGGTTCTTTTATGACAGCTTTCCAAGGAGAACTAGCCAGGCTCCAAAGAAACTTCCATGGCTCAGGCAGGAGATTGCTGACCGCTGGCCTCCTTGCCTTCCTTCTCCTGCCAGCCGGCCCCCAGCAAAGCGCTGAAGCCGGCAAACACTTTGGGCCTTGGGGGTGCCTGGTTCTACTTCAGCCGGGGGTCCCGCACTTCTCATGTGGGCCTGGCTGCCCTGGGCGTTTTGGGGGGCAGCCCCCCACCCCCCGTGTCCAGGATTGGACCCCCTCTTTGCTCCTCTCTCTTTGCTTCTCCCACCTTCCTTCCCTTGACCGTTCTTGTACTTCTTTTTCTTAATAAATGGTGCTGAACCCCACAATCACAGAGAGTGCCTTTTTTTATCTTCCTGTGTTGTGGAGGTGGGTGTGATTGTGGTTAGGCAGTGAAAGAGATGAAGCATTTGTCCCAGAACCAGATAGGGAACATGTGCAGCAATCTGGTTTGGGTCTCTTCTCTAAGAAAACGCCATGGCCTCCCCGTTTCAACCAGGGGCACCCAGGTAGGTACATGGCTCCTAGGTGAGTGGTGTTGGGAATCACTCAAAGCCAACGAAAGAAACTTGGATCGTTGAAAACAAAGAGAATTTATTAAAAAGAAGGGACGGTTTGCAAAGCGCCACTGGCCTTTTAGAACCTCAACAAGCGGGTTCAAATCAAAAGCCACACCTTTAAATTCTAAAACATACTTTATATACAGTTTCATCTGGTCACCCAAGTTCCCTCCTTCTTTGAGACTCATACATGTATTTGCCCTCAGGTGTTGCAGCTAATCCTAGGATGTCTCCAGGGAGAAATGATCTGTTATGTTCTCTGTACCTCTTACTTTGGCTGCCCACGTGGCATCTTTCCTTAGCGTTAAGGAATGTAGCATTCTCTTTCTTAACTTCGGAAGATACCATTTTAAAATTATTTATTGATTTAATAATGGAGCATGTCAAAAGTGTAAAAGCAAAGCATGTAGATACAGGGAGATATATTTCATTGGATAACAAATTAACGGAATTGGAAGGGACCCTGTAGGTCATCTAGTCCAACCCCCATTTGTGAAACATTTAAACATCTTATATACCATTTTATTTTTGAATTTCCTTATTTCTTACAGTGGGGAGCATCTGTCCCATCCTTAAGGCCAGGAATGGGGCCTTGTCCTAGCCCCCAGGGGGACTTCAAATTTTTTAGCAAGGGGCTCTCCGCCCTAATGACTGGCTGGGTGGGTGTGGCTGGGTGGTCATGTGACTAGATGGGTGTGGCCAACTCAGTGTCGCTTCTTTGCCCTAATTACCTAAAAAAAGATATATACCAAAAAGTTGTTTATTATTTCATGCATTTAATACTGAAATAAAAGACTGGGTGAAACCAGGCTTAATAGCAGTGACTGTGAGAGGGATCTTGGAGTCTTAGTGGAGTTTCTGGTGAGTTAGGTGATTCTTATTATTTGGGAATTAATCCCCTCAGTGGCTATGTTATCTGATTTTTCTCAATGGCTCTCCCTGACAAGCGGTGAGTGGATTGTTTATCTAGCTTGCCACACTGTTACCAGGTGTGAAATGCTCTTGGCTGAACACCCAGAAAGGGAAAAAGCCGAAAAGGCTGCTTGTCTTTTTGAGGTGCAGATCTTAGCTAGAGGCTCCCCCCCGAGCTCCTGCGAACCTCCAGCAGCCCACCCCGGGGCAGCGCACTCAAGTGGTTAGCTCAGCACTTCTCTATAGAGATCCCTTAGCAGGGTGCTAAGGGAGATGGCAGGGGACTGCGGGCACCAATTCTCCACCTGAAGCAGGCTCTGCTCTCTGCCAGGGTCCTAAGATGCTAGCTGCTTGGTGCCAGGGGGCAGGAGCCGGCTGTCCTGAGCAAGCCCCTCGCCCTGCAATAGAGAGAGTAGGGTGGCCGGGGAGGAGGCTGAAGGATGCAGGAGCTGAGGGGACGGCAGAGAGCGGTGGGGCTGCAAGCAGGAAGCCCACATATGTGCCCTCGCAGCTCGGAAAGTCAAACCAAAAACAACATATAAATGAAGATTATATCATCCCTTTTCTTTTTTTCTCTTCTTTTCTCTTCTTATTCCATTTCATTCTCACTCTCACTCTCTTCTCTTCTACTATTCTATTCTTCATTCCACTCCATTCCACTCTATTTCATTCTTCTCTTCAACTATTCTATTCTTCTCTTCAACTATTCTATTCTTCATTCTTCTCCTATTCTTCATTCTTCTCCTATTCTTCTCTTCTATTCTTCATTCCACTCCATTCCACTCTATTTCATTCTTCTCTTCTACTATTCTATTCTTCATTCCACTCCATTCCACTCTATTTCATTCTTCTCTTCAACTATTCTATTCTTCATTCCACTCCATTTCATTCTTCTCTTCTACTATTCTATTCTTCATTCCACTCCATTCCACTCTATTTCATTCTTCTCTTCTCTTCTCTTCTCTCTTCTCTTCTCTTGCCTTTTCCTTCTTCTCTTGCCTTGCCTCTTCTCTCTTCCCTTTTCTTTTGTCTTCTCTTCCCTTCCCCTTCCCTTCTCTCTTTTTTTTCCCTCCTCTTCTTGCTAAGTTTTGCTCGTCCGCGGCTACGAGAACGCGCCTGGCTGTCAAAGAGGCGTCTAGCTCTCAGCTGGCCCGCCCCTGTACGGCCAGCTTCCGGTACAGAGGGGGGGGGCTTTTCCGGTTTGAGCCCGGGGACGACTGGGAGTTGTAGTGTTCCCCGGGCGTAGCGGGCCTTTTAATGCAGGGTTCTCCAACCTCAGCAACTGGACTTCAAGTCCACGGGTCTTAAAGTTGCTCAGGTTGGAGACCCCTGTTCTAATGTATATATTCGTCGGCCCGGAAAATGGCGTTGTGGACGCGCGTTAGCATGAAAAATAAACACGCGGATTGAGGGCCCGCGGGGAAACAAGAGACGAGGTGGGGGTGGACGTTGAAAGCAGCACCAGCCGCATCCGAGAGCAAGAGGGCAGCCATCTTAAAAGGGGCAAAAGTGCCTCGTATTTTCCCTCCTGAATCCCCACATTTAGGTGTAGGGCGTGTTTTTTTTTAAAAAAAAAACATGGTGATTATATAAAACAACCCCTCCTCTCTTTTTATTTTTTTTCAAAAGAGATAAAAACTGAGGAGAGGCGCCATGGATTCGTCGGAGAGTTTCGCCTCAGAACGTCGAGCTCGCTCTGCGCATGCTCCGCTCGTCCAACGGCTTTCTTCGCCGCGAGGGAGGAAAGACAACAACGGGAAAGGGGCGGGGCCTTTTCGAAAGAGCGCCGCCCTATGGGAAATCGCGGGCCACGTCCCTCCAAAGCCTTCTCCCGTCCGCCGTTGGCGTGACGTCAGAGCCGAGAAGCCCGAGGGGGGGGGCCAAGTAGAGAGGGAGTCGCTCCCCGCGCGCGCGCCCCCCCAGGAAGCGTGGCCTGGAGGGGGGGGCGGTGTTAAAAAAAAAAATATATAGCTTAGGGCCGGTTCCGCTTCCGGGTCGCCCGGTCCCTCTTTCCCTCTCCCGGAACCGCCCCCCCCCCCCCGGAGGCCCTGTTCCCGCTCGGGCCGGTCCCCGGGATGGCTCCGCGGCTGCAGCTGGAGAAAGCGGCCTGGCGCTGGACGGAGACGGTGCCGCCCGAAGCCGTGACGCAGGAACACATCGAGGCGGCCTACCGGATCAGGCTGGAGCCCTGCCAGAGGGGCGCCTGCAGGTGAGGCGACGCCCGGCGGGGCGCGGCCTTCTGCTGCCCAGCCCACTCCCGAGGCCTCCTGTCTTGCCTCCCTCCCGGGCGAAGCTTGGAGCCTCCCCCCCCCCCCCGCCCCAGGGGAGGGGGGGGGGGGGGCACTACAGGTGCCATCCTCCGAGCGTGGCCCTGGGTGCAGCCCAACGGCAGGTGGCGGTGCCCCATGGGTTAGGGCATAACGGGGCCTTTGGCGCCTTCCTTTTTTTTATCTTATGGTTCTTGATTGATGGATGTATTTTATTTTATTTTTATTGATGTACGCTGAGAGCTGCTGCACCAAGGACAAATTCCTTGTGTGTCCACTTGGCCAATAAAGAATTCTATTCTATTCTGCAGGGGGTTGGACTAGAGGACCTCCAAGGCCCCTTCCAACCCTGTTCTATTCTGCAGGGGGTTGGACTAGAGGACCTCCAAGGTCCCTTCCAACCCTGTTCTATTCTGCAGGGGTTTGGACTAGAGGACCTCCAAGGTCCCTTCCAACTCTGTTCTATTCTGCAGGGGGTTGGACTAGAGGACCTCCAAGGCCCCTTCCAACTGTTCTATTCTGCAGGGGGTTGGACTAGAGGACCTCCAAGGTCCCT